AATGATTGTATAATGTGTACATGTGTGTGTGAATGCACACTGAAGGGAACTGGCTTTAGGACCCAGCGGAACAGCTCCTCTGCTGCATATAGAGCTATAAGCCCATCTAGAGGCATCAAATATCATGTGTTATTATTATTATCCACAAGAGCTCAAAGACTCCCAATGTAAGATATTTAGAGCTGAATTAAAAGGGTTATGCATGAAATTGTGAGTTATTTTGAATTTTTAATGTGAAGAATGTGCTTAAATTACTATTTATTGATCAAATCTAGTAATTTAAAGGTGAATAAAATAAAAAATCTCCCCAAAAAATGTCATTAAAAAATAGAAAAATATTATCAAAAATGAAATAATATAAGCTTTCTGCACAAAAAAAAAATAAAGTATAATTTTAGGGCTTCGATGGAAAGATGTGTTACAGTGCGAGAGAAGGATTAAGCAAAACTCACTTAATTTTGATTTATTTCTCCAGAAAACAAGACATAATATCTTATAATGCATCTCGATTTTGAAGAATTTGTAGATATTTGGACTGGAAACGAGACACAAACACTAACAGACACCCAGAGATTTGAGGTTATTTTGAGCTGAGATGTTTTCTCTCCTCAGTGTCACGGAGATGTTGACCACACAGGCGGACAGATTCTCCACTGAGGAGGTGAGGCTGGTGCTGATGCTGGCGGTTGCCATGGTTACAGTGACATCATCATCAGCACTGAGTGACTGATGTCGTGTGGTTTTCAGATGGAGCAGATGTTCAACGCTTTCCCTCCAGATGTTGCGGGAAACCTGGACTACAAGAATCTGGTGCACATCATCACTCACGGAGAGGAGAAGGACCAGGAGTAATCCGTCCAGGCCTCAGCCAATCACAGCGCTCCCCTGCGCGCTCGGACACGCCCACTGATTAATGATTGACAGGTGTGAAACCTGAGGTCACTGAAGTGAGAATGGTTTTAACGTATTTGAACTATATTCTTGGCATGTTAACCTGTCAACACTTCCCTGCAAAATACTGTAATAGGTAAATAAATAAATTAACATGAAACATTGATGCGAGTGTAAATGATTTTATCCTGTTTTTACTGTTGTAAAATCCTTTTCCAATTCTATTTTAATTCCAATCGAATTAGACGTTGTGTGTAAATAATGGAATTATAGCTGAGTTTGACAAGACACACACTACCAGTCAAAAGGTTTTTTATGTTTATAAAATAGTCTCTTCTGCTCACCAAGGCTGCATTTATTTGATTAAAAATACAAAAAAAATCGTTATATTGTGAAATATGATTACAATGTAAAACAGCTGTTTTCTATGCGAATATTAAAGTGTAATTTATGAATTTCCAGCATCACTCCAGTCTTCAGTGTCACATGATCCTTCAGAAATCACTCTAATATGAGGATCTGATGCTCAAGAAACATTAAAGATTATTATCAGTGTTGAAAAGAGTTATTTACATTTTTATTTCAGGATTCTTTGATGAATAGAAAGTTTAAAAGAACAGCATTTATCTGAAATACAATCTTCTGTAACATTAAACACTAACGTTCAAAAATTTGGGGTCAGTAAAGTAAGAATTTTTATTTTATTTTTTGGGGGAAAGAAATGAAAGAAATCAATACTTTTATTCATCAAGGGTGAATTCAATTGTTCAAAAGTGACAGTAAAGACATTTATAATGTTACAAAAGATTCCATTTTCAGATAAATGCTGTTCTTTTGAACTTTCTATCCATCAAAGAATCCTGAAATAAAAATTTACATAACTGTGTTCAACGCTGATAATAATCATAAATGTTTCTTGCGCATCAGATCCTCATATTAGAGTGATTTCTGGAGGATCATGTGACACTGAAGACTGGAGTAATGATGCTGGAAATACACAGGAATAAATTACACTTTACTATATATTCACATAGAAAACAATATTACAATATTTTACTGTTTTATTTTTGCAGTTTTAATTAAATAAATGCAGCCTTGGTGAGCAGAAGAGACTCTTTTAAAAACATTACAAATCTTACTGATCCCAAACTTCAGTTGTGTGTGTGTGTGTGTGTGTGTGTGTGTGTGTGTGTGTGTGTGTGTGAGTGTGTGTGTTCTGGCTCTCAGAACAGGTGTCAGTTCTCTTATTTTCTGCCAGGATAAAGTCAAAGCCTGCACTGTTATTTCTGTGTGTAATCTAATACAGACGATTCGAGACAATGAGCAGCTCAGCCTGATCCCACTGTCTCACACTCACACACACACACACACACACACACAATCTGTCTGATCCCGCTGTCATACACACTCACACACACACACACACACACACACACACACTGTCTGATCCCGCTGTCACACACACTCACACACACACACACACACACACACACACTGTCTGATCCCGCTGTCACACACACTCACACACACACACACACACACACACACACACACAATCTGTCTGATCCCGCTGTCACACACACTCACACACACACACACACACACTCAGCCTGATCCCGCTGTCACACACACTCACTCACACACACACACACACACACACACACACACACACACACACACACACACACACACTCTCAGCCTGATCCCGCTGTCTCACACACACACACACACACACACACACACACACACACACACACACACACACACACACACAGCGGGATCAGACCGAGTGTGTGTGACAGCGGGATCAGACAGAGTGTGTGTGTGTGTGTGTGAGTGACAGCAAGATCAGACAGAGTGTGTGTGTGTGTGTGTGTGTGTGTGTGTGTGTGTGTGTGTGTGTGTGTGTGTGTGTGAGTGTGTGTGACAGCGGGATCAGACAGTGTGTGTGTGTGTGAGTGTGTGTGTGTGTGTGTGTGTGTGTGTGAGTGTGTGTGACAGTGGGATCAGACAGTGTGTGTGTGTGTGTGTGACAGCGGGATCAGACAGAGTGTGTGTGAGTGTGTGTGACAGCAGGATCAGGCTGAGAGTGTGTGTGTGTGTGTGTGTGTGTGTGTGTGTGTGTGTGTGTGTGTGTGAGTGTGTGTGAGTGTGTGTGACAGTGGGATCAGACAGTGTGTGTGTGTGTGTGTGTGTGACAGCGGGATCAGACAGAGTGTGTGTGAGTGTGTGTGACAGCGGGATCAGGCTGAGAGTGTGTGTGTGTGTGTGTGTGTGTGTGTGTGTGTGTGTGTGTGTGTGTGAGTGTGTGTGACAGCGGGATCAGACAGTGTGTGTGTGTGTGTGTGTGTGTGACAGCGGGATCAGACAGAGTGTGTGTGAGTGTGTGTGACAGCGGGATCAGACCGAGTGTGTGTGAGTGTGTGTTTAATCCGCTTTAAGACACACCATGTGTAAGTTCATAAGTCGACAGCATTGCTGAGTATTTTCTGCTTAAAACTGCAGTGAACCAAAGACAGTCTCAAAAACACGGTTTGAAATCGCTGGTGTTTCTGACGTCACAAACGACCTTGTAACCAATCAGATCAACGTGTGATCGTCAACCAGTGGATCTCTGAGCTGAGGGAGTGAGTGGAGGCGGGGCTCATTTGCATATTCATAGAACCGCGCATACTAAATGAGGAAAGGGTGTCGAGTTACATTCAAGATATTTTAAGACATGAAGACTTTTTTTTCTTTTTACAGAAAAAAACATTTAAATATGTAAGTTTATTGACCAAAGATGAGTTTTAAGAGTTTAAGATGAGATAAAATTATTGACTACCGGGGGACTTATAATAAATCAAGCCTTGTTTTCTAAAAAAGAAATCAATCAAAATATCTGCCATGTCCACTCTTAGAAAAAAGTTCTATATAGAATCCTATAGTGTTCTGGAATTTCATTTCAAAGAACCCCATATGCCAAAAAGATTCTATAAAAGCATAATAGAACTTAAAGTGACAGTTCACCCAAAAAAATGAAAATTATGTCATCATTTACTCATCCTCAAGTTGTCCCAAACCTGTATGAGTTTCTGTCACATTCTGAAAACATTGGTTAAAATTTCATTGTGCTGTATATCAGATATTCTACACATAAGAGTGTTATTATTCATATTTTTTTTCTACCGCATATGTTTTGTGTGACTGTGTTGAATTTCTTTGAATTGCAATTCAGTGAATTCTTTCTGTCAATTCTAATTCACAGTTATAAATCGAATTGAATGGAAAGGAAAGGAAAGGAAAGTCACTGCACAATGACGAACACTAGAGGACAGCACAGGTCTCTAAACATGAGACAAATGTCTTTTTCATCTGAGAAACACTTGCAATCTGCAACTTACTTTCTAAAATTTATGTATTTAAATATCTTTCTGTTTGTACAAATAATTTTAATGAAAGTCGCACGTTTTTCTAGGACTACCTCTTAAACACAATGTTGTTGTGCAGTGATGCATATAATAAAAGAGAATTGTGTCACTGTTAATTCAGTGTTCCTTCTGCAATCTGACGATATCAGGATGCTAATGGTGAAACGTCTCAAGAAAACGTAATTTCCTAAAAGAAAGGATGATGAAATATGATGCTGAGCATCAACATGTTCCCTCATCCAGTAAAAATACTGTAATACGAGGATACAACAGTATAAGTACAGTACATTTTAAATTGAAATCAGCATCAATTAAATGCATGATCTTTAAATATGCTATATTTACAAATACAATAATATAGTCTAATTCTTTTTTTGTGTGTTGATGTAATGTGAAGGAAGATACCATTAGTTAGTTGTCATTCAAATAACGTATGTAAAACGTATTCTTTATATAATTGTTATATAACTAAAAGTATTTCATTCCAATTAACATTCAACATCGTCACACATTAAAGTCGGCTGTGCTCCCTCGCATTTCCTCCGCACTATTTCTCCTCACTTGTGCAGCTGTGCTGTATTCATCCGCGCGTCGGTTTACAGCATCCGTGCTGTTTCTGAATGTGTGTGTTGTAATGTGTGTCCTTCCGCAGAGCCGGTGAGCCTCCGCCGCAGCACGCGCGTCTGACGGCCCGCTCAAACCCGCGATTTGTTACCTTTTGTGTAATAAATCTGTTTATTTGTAATCGGAATACTTTTATTTGTCGTTTCTGGTGTGTTTTGAGTGGTGGCGTTTGTGTTTCATTCGGCTAGTCATGGCTGACATCGACAAACTCAACATAGACAGCATCATTCAGCGCCTTCTCGAGGGTAAGTTTCACGTCAAGCAACGGCTAACATATTCTAACAATGAGGTAAATAATTACAAAATCGTTGTTATTGTTGTATATGTCTGATTTGTCAGCTATCTGGCTCGTATTTAGAGCTGTCGAGCTGAGCTAACAGGGTTAGCTGAGCGTTAGCTCCTCATTGACATCAGTGGCTGTGTGTCAAATACACAATATACAGTGTATAAGTTATATAGTTCCCTTCATATACGACATTTATGGCGCGTTTACAACGTTTGCGAATTTGGAGTTATGAATTATGCCATAATACTCTACAATAGTGTACATAGACTGTGATATGAGACACAGACGAACTGTACGTGTTGTGCTTAAAGAGATAACGTTAGTTCGCCCAAAAAAATTAAATGATACTGTCATCATTTACTCACACTCAAATTTTCCAAACCTGTGTGAGTTTCTTTCTTCTGCTGAACACAAAAGAAGATATTTGGAAGAATATGGGAAACCAAACAACATTGTCTTCCATTGTATGGAGACTGGAGAGAGAAAAAGTACTATGAAAGTGCAGCAACTTTTTGGTTACAAATTGTCTTCAAAAAATCTTCCTTAGTGTTCATCAGAAGAAAGATATTTATACAGGTTTTAAACAACTTGAGGGCGAGTAAATGACTCAATGAACTTGGTGAACTGTCCCTTTAAGGCATCGTTAAACACAAAAATATGCTATACAATACTGATAAAGTGATATTATGCAGATTTGACCATGTGGAAGACTGTTTATCAGAGTCACTGGAATCTGGATATAGTCATTTCCAGGTGTTTTTGCTGGTTTAGTTCAGCTGTAATTGCCCTATGAGAGTGTAATCTCAAAAACTAAACTCAGCCACCATATCGGTATGTCATTTAAGATTTAAAACTATAATGAGAACATTATAATTGAGTGCTTGAGACATGGATCTTAATGGTGAAACTTGTTTTTGTAATTAAGCTCTCAAAAATTATATAACTTTTGGGTTTAGATTTATCGGTCAATATATCGGTTATCGGATTTCAAATATAAAGAGTTATCGGTATCGGCTAAAATGTTCATATCGATGCATCCCTGGTAATCTCTTGTGAAATGATTTTAAACAACTCTTTATGCAGTAATCACAAACATCTGGAAAATTAATTTAGTGAAAAACAGTTTAAATATCTCAGAAAACTAATTCCAAAACACACACTATAAACTCTCATTCTTGAGTTCTGTATTATATTTTGTTTTTATTGCAAGTCTAGGCCTATAGTTTTATTATACAACTGCTTTATAATGTTATTGCTTTATTGTGTGCAATGCATTATAATAAAGCAGTAAATACAGTGAGTCAGAGAGTGAACCCTGTGATTATGCAATAATTTTTTATTGTATGCAATTCTTGATTCATGAAAAGATGTATTTACATAACACTAGTACTCACCGCTTGCCTTTTTGTGCTGTATTATATATGCAAAGCAATTCATCACTGCTGATCTTATATTTTTTAGCTCGATGCTTAGACTTATACAGATTTAGTGAGTTTTTCAAGGTGTGTTTTGTTTGTTCATTAGAGAGAGTCTGACATTAGGTTCAACACCCATTTTCATTTTAAGTTCATACAGCAGAGACTTTAACATGGGACACTTTTCAAACACATGTGCTTTTGCTTTATATCAACCAGGGAACAATTTTGTCCTCTTACACTGTCCTAACCAGGGCTGAACTAGGTTAGATTTGAGACATAAGTGTTCATTGAATCGATTGTAAGATCGATTTTCCATGTCTAAAGACGTTTCCATTTTCAACACCAAATACAGGCAAATCCACGGACACCTAACAGGCGTTAGGACGAGCGTAAAGAGGCGCTTGAGACGCGCAAGTCAGCAATATTCCTGATGATTTATTGGCGTGAAGTTTCAGCACAATGACAAACAGCAGCGCAACATTCAGGGATTGAGATTAACACCTCGACCCGCCAGATGCGCGTACAAATGAACTTTGGCGGGAAACGCTGTCGAATCACGAGCCAATCTGGCGTTTCTGTGTTTACTCACTTTGCTGGGGAAGTTCGTGTAAGACAAATCTGCGCGGATTTAGTGCAAATACGCAACTCGTGATCCTCATGATATATTAAATACAGCGTATCGCAGAATCTGCTCATTTCTGGCTTACTTGAACACACACACACACACACACACACGTCACTACGCAACACATAACGGCGCGCTTGCTCACTTGCATTGAAGTAATAGCGAATATTAAAAAGCATTTGGTTAACAGAAAGACATTGTTATTTTCCAGCATCCGACATGTTCTGTGTGCTGTATTGATCTGTCCACCTAACACACATTTTTGGTAAAAAAAAAAAAGGCAGTTAAAATCGATTCCCTATTTTCATTTGTGAAACTTGTGTTGGTTGGTCCGATCGATTGTGCAATAGATTTTCCAACGTAAAGTGAAAGCCCTAATCCTAACCAGACACGATGCGATAATATTCCGGCGACAAATAATTTGTTTGTTTTTTGTAATAAAGACATTTTAATTAAGGAATGCCTGAAGAGAATTCTTTCTCTACACTGTCTCTTATATATATATATATATATATATTATGTACTTTATTATGTCTTTCAATTCAAACACATTTAACACAATTATACAAATGGACAGTTCCTTTAAAGACAGTTCCTTTTTTTCCCCCAATAAATATTCCTTATTTTTCCTTCTACTTTTTTTTCTTTTGTGATAAAACCAACACATACATATAAATAAAACAATAAATAAATATTAATAAAAATATAACATTCACATATATCAAACTCTTATAATGAATGACACATAATTCCTAATAGTTATTCAAGTAATATTATTTAAATATCAAATATTAAATAAGTAAATAAATAAAATAACAAATAACTAGAAATAAAAGGGAAGGTTACATAAAAATGTAGTTAATGTAGGCCAATATATATTCCTTTATTTTATGGAATATTCTTTGATTTTAGAGTTGCACATATCTTTTCAAAATGTATACATTTGTTTTTAATTTAATGTTATCCTCTCCATACTGTACTTTAGAAACTAAATCTAACCACTCATTTAAAACTGGGGATTCTTGCTTTCTCAAAAAAATGATTGCATTAAAAGCTGTAATTCTCAGCATTCTAATTAAGTATATATCATCTTTATAAAGTAGCATATGTCCTATACCCAAAACTATATTTTGTATCTTTATATATTTAGTTTCTTAAAAAAAATCTTCCCTGATTAAAGGCTACTTCTGTTCAATTTCTTTTTTTTATTAGAAGTATAAAATATGAGTGTAATGAGCTAGAAGTTCACTGCAACTTATCCAACATCCTAAAGAGAAATTATTATAATTAGAAGATATTTCTAGTGTTTTAAAATATCGAATATTAATTTTCCATGCAAAATGTATATTTTAGTCAGAATTATTGCGCTTCTATTTGGCGCGCATGCGCGCAGCAGCGCTCGTTCAATATGAAGATTAGCAGCAAAATGGATACATTTGCACGACTTTCTAACATTTACAGATGGAGAATATAACTGTAAAATGTAATTTTTGCACTGAGGGAAAAAAACAAACATGTCACAAACGCATAAAACAGCACAAAATATACGCTGTTTGATGGTGGATGGATTTGATCCACGATCGACCTCTAGGGCTGCTTCAGAAACGCGTGAACACGCAATTAACTAGACTAGATAAACCTGGATCGAATTAGTGAGATTGCGTGAACTTCAATTACCTTTTATGGAACCACTTTAGCCCCAACTTATTTGTTAGGCTCATTCAAGTCCGGTTTTGGAGTTTAATCCCCGCTTTTCTAAGCCTCATTTATGGAACAGCCCCCAGGATTGCTAAAGTTACAGGCTGGTAGGGTTGGATACCGAAACTCGGTGCCAATAGGGAACCAGTTCCGACGTAAATGGTAGTAACCAGACCGAATAAGAACGACAATTTCGGTGCCTGATTTCGGTTACACACACAGTCTCTTCTGTCTCGCATGCGCGCTCTTGCTCGCAAGGTTTGGCTGCATTTCACGTGTAAAATTACGCGTTAGAACGCCCTCTGGGTGTGCCGATAGTCTGAATCCCATATAGAATCAAGCCAATTCATTAGCAGATGGCGCGCGCGCCAACATATGACGACGTAAAGCCTTGTTTATACTCGACGCGTCCGCAAGAGCGTGAAGGTGCGCGCGTCAAAAATGACGTAATTGCGGTGTGGGCGGTCGTGCACGTTGGGTGCGCAAGACCCCATTTCGCCTGGCGGTGTGCACGGCACTTTTTGTAACATCGCGCGCGGCGCCGCATCCGAAGATGAACGACTTTGAGCCGAATCAGGCCGAACTGGTGCGTCTGTATCAGCATGTTTATGATCCTTCTATACACAGAGACATTTGCATTGATGGGCGACCATAAAAGCCTCTCCTTTTGTGAATAGGAACACATTTGCATTAAGCACCCAGTTTGCACTTGTATAAAGTAACTGCTTACATTTATAAAATAAGCCTACAATAGCAGAAGTAAGCCCTGCTGATGAAATTAAGGTTTAAACACTCTTCAATAAGGCTTCAGTTGTTTAGCGAGTTTGTATAAGAAAGTACAATACACCTACTGCATTTATTACTCTTTTAATATGAATCAGCTATTAATAAACTACTAATAAACGGCAAACTACTTCTTCACTGCTGATTCCTGATGGTTTAGAGGAGAATTACTCCAAGTCGCCCCCTGTCGTTTCACAGAGTAGCACAACGGCTGTTTGGAGCGCCATCTGCTCCTCAGATTTCTTTGCCGAAAAAGGAAGTTGGTCGGCAGCGCAAGGAGCTTGGCAGCGTCTCGTTCCCTATTGAGAGAACATAGGTTACACCAGTAACCAGAGATGTTCTCTTTCATATAGGGATGCACGATATAGGATTTTGGCCGATATTCGATATGCCGATATTTTCAAACTAATTTTGCCCGATGCCGATACCGATATC